ACTGTTAGGTAGTAACACCAAACATGGATTAAACAGTGTGGTTCTTTTTTACCACAGATGTTGGGGAATAAGGGGAAAAAGCACGGGATTATTGATTATAGTTGATTGATTATTATAGTTATGTGATTCCCGACTGGGGTTGCCGATCGGGACACAGGTCACACCGTTCCCCGCAGCGAGCTCCCCCCAGTTACAGTTTAATCGTGGGCTGGGCTGGGTGCAGTGGCGGACTGGCCATCGGGACGAATCCCGATGGGCCTGTACCGAAGTGAGCCGGTCGGATAAGTCACTAGCACATCCCCCACTCCCCCCGTTGACAATTTACTAGTGGTACCGAAGTGGGCCGGTCGAGAGTCCCGGGCTGATTTTTAGTCCCAGTCCACCACTGGCTACATGACCGTATGATCGCCCATATTGACGCACCTAATTCCTAAACTTCTAACAGATACAACATAAACCGATCCTTCAGCCTCATATGAGCTCTCAGACACGTTCAAAATTAAACTGTCATCGCTGTGTGAGCTTGCTGCTGTGTGCGCCATCATGCGTTTACATGCAGATGCTGGGATCCTGAACGGTGCAGCTGGAGCGCTGTGCCCGCATTGACGTCACCCATAATTTGGCGGGACTTGAAGAATCCCCGAGAAGATCCAGGAAATGGTCAACATTGAAGGGCAGATGAATGGTTATCAAAGTACAACTATCCAAAATCAGTTCAGTAACGGTTTTCAAGGGGACAATATTTACTCAAATTGATGGGTTTGGATGATGGGGGAAAATCGTGTCACAGGCTCTTTAAGGCAGATCTGTTTTCAAAGAGTTGAGGATGATAGGATGCAAAAAAAACCTGCATGAAAAACGTTATCTGCTGTTAGTGTTGTTCAGCGAGCAGATGTCATTTGCTTTTTCAGGATGCAAAAGATACAAGACATGCTTTACTGTTCATGTCGTATTGGAAGAACAGGGAGGAACAGAATGTAGTTCTGCAGCAAAGTAGGAAGAAGTGACATCTTTCATTTGCATTTATAAATTAATAATACACCTGGTAGTTTCAGAAAATTTCACAAGGAAACACAACACAATAAGGAAGCATCTGTCAACAATCTGTGTTCTGTCCACTTTTTTTTTCACTTCTTAATGAGGACAAGATAAGACAGGACAAAAGTACATCAGCCCTTTATCAGGAGAATCATGTGTTCAAGTTTGATCCCACTGCTGCTTCTGAAGACAAACTCCATGAGGTCTATGGAGTCACATTCAAATGTTGATGGAAATCCCCCTAATGACCGTACGACAGGTCTACGTGAACTATTGGGATGCACAACAATAAATAGTTAATAAATAAGAAAAGGGAGAAAATCCTCATAATGATCAACCAAACAGATCCAAAAGGAATGTTGATTCTCCTGCACACATTGTAACAATGTCTCCAGTGTGGGGATGGGAGTGTGTGTTTAAACACTTTTTGCTAATGCTTACTGAGGAGTTGTGATGTTTAAATGTACAGGTTGGTGTCAAATGTAATAAGCAAATGAAATACCATGGCTTCAGTCACACACTTATGAGTGGTATGCGTGTAATGTGTGTCAGTGCATCTGTGTTGTTTAGCTGAGGAGCTCCAGGTATGTGACAGGCACTTTTCCTTTCTGGTTTCCTCTCTCTCCAATCAGCCAGTCCGAGTCCATCCCTGGCACTGTATACACTGTGATGAGCTGTAACACAGAGGGCATGGTCACTGATGAGACTTATCTTCAAGGTAATGGCTAGAGCCAAAATAACACGGGAAAGGAGGCCCTAGAACATGGCATTATCAGAAACAAGGAGAAAATGTTATTTAAGACAATACATGTGGGGGATGGTATAGTGCCATGTGCTTGTCAGGGTGTTATGATTAAGGCTGCACATTAACCACCATTTGAACAAAATCGCAATACGGACTGGAGCAATACGATACTTGAATATGCTTTAAGAAACACACTACCTCCATCCCAGCTCTCCAGAGGGTTTCATTTATTTTGTTACTAACAGTGTTGCAGCTCCTCCCTTAAAACAGACGCCTTAGATTGATTATAATAAGGGGAAATAGGAAGGGAATAGGGCCTTTTTTATCAACTAATATTTGTTAGAATTTTTTCTAACAAATATTAGTATTAACACATGAATACTACTGTGCAATATATGTTAAGCAGTGGCGAGCCGTGACTTTTATACCTAGGCCCTCTGACCCTCCCCCCCCTTCCCTCTTAAAAAGAAGAGATATTACGTCACAGCGTATACTTCAGCGGAATATCAGTTTGACAGCCCGAGAGGCATACAGTCCTCTGTCAAAAACAGACAGATAGCAGTATTCTTTGAATATCCGTTACCGGTGACTTACTTGTTTTATCTTTTTATTTACTTATTAATTATATATTGTTATTATTGAACTATGCAAGGTATAATTAACAACAGGAGATAAGCTGAAACGGCAGTTTTCAGGACAATTACAAATAGGTTAACTACATATGCCAGCAGATGAAGGAAGTCGACGTTTTAGACCATGGATTTGTAGGTTTGAACTTTCATTTGAATGCAGCATACTTGATAATAATACCATAATATCAGTTCGATAGTGGACCCGTCGTCCAATTATAACCTTGCGTTCAAATTGTAACCTTGCCCTTTGCTGACTACAGTGTATCATCCACAAAAGCATGGTATATGTTGCAGATCAGATAGTAACGAGAGTTCAGTAAACCCGGACACTGGATAATGGCCACGCCCTCTTGGCTGTTAGACACTCCCGGCTGTGGGCTAGATTAAGGATCATCCTCTAACAGCATCAGACATCGCTTGTGGCCGACTTTTCAACACATACAGCACTGCAGTTGAGCAAGAAATCTTACTCGTCAGCTAGAAGCGGAGAGCCCGCGTGAGCAGCAGCATCATAATCATAAAGGGATTTGGCTTGCGCGTCCTGAAGCGGGGCCTGGACTCCTCTATCTTCAGAGTGTCCCGCTCCAGCGGGCTGCCTTTCTGATGCCGGAGCTGAAGGAGTGGAGCTCAGTACAAACGCATGGGAAGCTGAGGGGAAGCAGGCGAGAACATGACAACTAGATCAAAAATAACACAATAAAGTACAAACAGCATCACACAACAGCCAAAAACAAACATATCTGAGTAGCNTTAACTGTATTAATGGCACCTGTTTGAACTCGTTATCAGTATAAAAGACACCTGTCCACAACCTCAAACAGTCACACTCCAAACTCCACTATGGCCAAGACCAATCTTGGCCATAGTGGAGTTTGGAGTGTGACTGTTTGAGGTTGTGGACAGGTGTCTTTTATACTGATAACGAGTTCAAACAGGTGCCATTAATACAGTTAACAAGTGGAGGACAGAGGAGGCTCTTAAAGAAGAAGTTACAGGTTTGTGAGAGCCAGACATCTTGTTTGTTTGTAGGTGACCAAATACTTATTTTCCACCACAATTTGCAAATAAATTCTTTAAAAATCAGACAATGTGATTTTCTGGATTTTTTTTCTCATTCTGTCTCTCATAGTTGAGGTATACCTAGGATGAAAATTACAGGCCTCACTCATCTTTTTAAGTGGGAGAACTTGCACAATTGGTGGACTAAATACTTTTTTTCCCCACTGTATATTTGGGGGGAAATATGCATCAGGGGAAGCCAATGAGAGAGTAAATCACTACTTTCAAGCAGCTGGAGTTAGGAAAAGATGTACGTTTCAGAACTGGGTCGCTAGTTGAACAAACTTTTAAACAAATGAATACATTTCAGTGGAAAAGTGCTATAAAATGCTATCCACAACAAACTGTTTTTGGTGATGAGACACACTCTAATGGGGCTTAATACATTGTAAAACATCTGACACATTGCAGTTCTGAAGCAATTTGTTTAAGCATACTGAGGCCTTAATTTTCACCCTATGGATCCAGCTCCGGTTTACTCTGTTCTGCACACAAAGTTACAAACAATTCAGCAGTATGTTTCATATAAATGTACCTTGGTGTAAATTACACAAATGAGTATCTTCTTTTGCTAATAGGACATGAAAAAATGTGAGACTTCATCACATATAAATCACCAGGCCTATCAGGTTATTATTGTATTGTCAGCCTTTCGTTATTCATTATCATTGCTAGTCATAGTTATGCATGTCTCTAAAGAATCAAGACTTGAGATGTGGAAATTATTTAAAGAAAAACAAAGAAGGAAATATGTCACTGATATGTTCCCTTCTGTCCCAGGCCGAGCATGAGCTCAGAGTGGCCCAAACTGAGTTTGATCGCCAAGCAGAGGTTACACGGCTGCTCCTGGAGGGCATCAGCAGTACACATGTAGGTCTGACACACACACACACACACACACACACACACACACACACACACAATAACAGTGAATAAGAGACGTGTTGTCTGTCTGCAGGTGAACCACTTGCGCTGCCTGCATGAGTTCGTGGAGGCCCAGGCCGCCTACTATAAGCAGTGTGACTTCCACATGAAAGAACTACAGAAAGAGCTGAGCAGGTGAGAGTCACATGGTACAAAACGGACGAATGTTGTGGGATTCACTGGGTCAGTCATTTTTATACGATGAAAATAAGCAGTCAACTTCTAGTGTGATAACTGAGAACTCTTAACAAGGAAGCAGCTTGGACTTCCTCAGTTCTACTGTTTTCTGATTCTGTTATTTTTGGTTTGGTCAAATCTTGATGAATCCCTCTCATTGCCTCCTGCCGTCAGTTGTGATGAGAACGTGTGAGTATGGCTCGCCTCCTGTGTGATCTTTCTTTGTGTTTGTTTTGTGTTCTGATACACATTTAATTGCTTTACAATGCTTCTCAAATTCATATGCTGGAGACTGAAAATCATTGCATTAGGATCATTTCCCAATTATGGAACAGAATGAGATTGAGGTCCTTGTTGGCTTTGCCAATGAGTTGTTCCTTATTTTACCTGACCATAAAATGATCTTTGCCCACCTGCAGCAAACCAGCAGGGAATGCACAAAAGGTGGGGTTTTCTCAAATAAGGCAGTGAAAAGAGAGTTGCACTTGGTGCCTGTTTCTTGCCAACACTCCTCCGCTGCCCCTTTGCTGCTCTTATCAACAAGAGCAAAATATATAAAATATCTCGAAGGAAAGGTTATCACCGGATGATGGTTAAAATGTAGACAAACTATTCAATAAAATATATATATTTTATATAAATATTTGATTCTAACTAGTTTTATTCTACCTTCTATTGGACATTTTACTTTAACTTCTTGTTTATATGAATATCTTAATTTTATTGAATATTTGTATAATGCACATTGTAATTTGTGATGTTTAAATATTTGTATTCTATATTTTTAAACTTTTATTAGATTTCATTCTAAATGTCTCAAAGGCCAATTTCCCCCCCAGGATACTTAAAGTCTTCTGATGCTAATATCAGACTGATGTGTTATAAATGTCCTTCCTGCTGCTAATGCAGGTGATAAAGTACAGCACAGTCCACTGTGGGCCTGTAGATGTCCCGCAATTGAAATAGTGTAATAATTGTGTAGGACTCAAGTTTTCCCGTCAGCATTGAGTTTTGATGGAGCATGACTAACATTTCTTAAGCCTGCGGTGTCATATGTTCCAGTGTAGACGTACTGAAGCATAACTCAAGATATGTTTGGTTTTTGGCTGTTGTGTGATGCTGTTTGTACTATTATTGTGTTATTTTTGATCTAGTATGTATGTTCTCCGCCTGCTTCCCCTCAGGCTTCCCAATGCGTTTGTACTGAGCTCCACTCACCCTTCAGCTCCGGCATCAGAAGGCAGCCCGCTGGAGACGGACACTCTGAAGATAGAGGAAGTCCAGGCCCCGGCTACAGGGACGCGCAAGGCCAAAGTCCTTTATGATTATGATGCTGCTGACTCCAGCGAGCTCTCCCTTCTAGCTGACGAGGTAAGATTTCATCATCAACTGCAGCTGATGTGTTGAAAAAGGGCCACAAGCCAGAAATGTCACTATGCTGATAAGGGATGATCCTTATATTAGCCCCACAGCCGGGAGTGTTAGAGCAGCCAAAGGGACAGTGGCCCATTATCCAGTGTACCGGGTTACTGGAACTCTCAGTCTACTATCTTAGATCTGACAACATATACCCATGCTTTTGTGAAGATACAATGTAGTCACGCAAAGGCAGGTACAATTTGAACGAAGGTTTATAAATTGATCGACCGGTCCACTATCGACTTGAGTATTATTGAGATATTATTATTCAAAAGTAAATGCTGCATTCAAAATGAAGTTACAAACCTACAAACCATGGTCTAAAACGTCAGACTTCCTTCATCTGCTGGCATAATGTAGTTAAACCTATTTGTACATGCTCACTGAAAACTGCGTTTCAGCATTATCTCCTGTTGTAATTAACCTTAGCATAGTTCAATAATAACAATATATAAATAAATAAAGATAAAGATAAAATAAAGATAAAGATAAGTCACGTAAACGATATTCAAAGAATATGTATCTGTCTGTTTTTGAAGAGACTGTATACCATGGGTGTCCAAACTGATATTCCGCTGAAGTATACGCTGTGATGTAATATCTCTTCTTTTTAAGAGGGAAGGGGGGGGAGGGTCAGAGGGCCTAGGTATAAAAGTCACAGCTCGCCACTGTAGGGGGGACACTTCCGCCCCCTCCTCAGAAGCAATCCAGACGATCAACCGGATCCTGTGGCTGTGGGCCCTTCTCACTTCTCTTATTTTTAATTTCCTCGCTCCTCGGTCTCGGTCTCACCGGAAGTTGATTTGTCTGCGCCATCTTGAGTAGCATCCCAATGGCCTTATTTTTGCCGGAGGAGCGAGGAGCGATAACCGAGGAACCATCAGACCATCCTCCGATGAAATCCTCAGACACTCGCCCAGCCCCTTACTGTGTATCGCTCACTGATTGGACGATGCAGCGCATGCACTGACCTGATGCTTCTTGACATGAGAGCAGTTTCCCAGCGGAGTGAAGAAAATACATGAACCTCACGGGAGTCACTCAGTTTATACTGTTTTGTTTCAATTAATGTATCATTTAGTTACAAATATGTGATATATCTGAACAACAAAGTGGTCAAAAATAATTTTATTCATTTTTTGGAAACATTTTCATGATCGCTTTTTTCGTTTTACATTTTCATTTATTGTCATTTCCATTCAGTCAGTCATTAAGTGCTATTTAAAATGTTAATGTGCTACATATCCAAACAAACAAACAAAGTGTGCAAATCCAATGAATGTTAATCTAACTGGGTTTTGATAGAGAACATATCTCTTTTTTCTTCTCTCAGTTATTTTATTTCTATTTGTGCACTCTAATCAATATTAATCAAAACTATTGTTCGTTTATACGAGGGGCAAGAATGGGCGTTATCTTTTGAGAATTAGTTCTTATTTATTTGTGTGAGTTGGGGCGAACAAAAAAGAGGCCGAGTCGTACGGAATACGAGGGTTGGGG